GCCATTTTTTTTTTTTTTTGTCTCAATAAATGTTCTTAAGCATTCTATATAATCTCGCAATTATTGGACATCAGTCCTAAAAAAATTAAAATTTATTTTAAATTGAATTTTAAACTCTTCCTCACACAATTAAGCCAAACTAATTTTATAAACCCATGCAATCAATTCCCGTGTTTCTCTGTAAGATTGGCTTAACTTTTAATGTTTGAATAAATTAAACTATGTGCGTAAATAAAAATGCATATTGAAACACCAGTTTCGGAATTACATAGAATGAAGATCACATTTGGCCTTTTCGTTGAGACCCTTTACTAAAATAAAACACAACGAACCAGCAGGAACGAAAAAAAAAGAAGAAAGAAAACCTGTTGTATACGCTTTCACGATTTCGAGAAAGTAAAGTAGCGGTAACTTGCCAAAGAATAAACCCGGATTTGAATGGAGGGGGTGACCCTCAGGCCAATCGAAACCCTCACTATAATGATTCAATCCTCCCAGATTTCTGAGGAGTTTTAACCGTTTTACTGACCACCAGGGGCAAAGGTTTCCTCCACTCTTCCTCCCCATAGACAGTTCACTTCCTTTTTCAGGTGCCAACGGCCTTAAGAGATTTAAGGCTTTATTTATCAATATGTGTTTTAACTTAATTGTCTTGTAAATTAATCAGCAAATATTTAAGGCCCTCAAACCATTAAAATACATATCTAGGGCATAAAAAGTGAATCACACTATCAAAATGTATTAAGTTTAATCAAGATTTTATACTCTTAATTTTTTATTTCCATTGCATCTAGTTGTTCACAGATTTTAAATTATTATAAATACGTCTGTTTTCATCAGTTCACAAATGTTGTTGATTGTTTTAAAAATTTTGTGATTTTTAAAAAAAATATTTTAAATTATGAATTTGACTGCCATTGTTCCGTTGATAACAGCCTAGGAGAAAACATAGTTCTTTTATAGTTAATGTACTCTAATAATATCATTGTTATTTGGCATTGTAGCAAAATAACAGTTATGCTATTGCTTGAAACTGTAAAAATATATATCTTTAATAATATATAAATTCTTGCAGTTCCATTGTTGTTTGGCTATGCATGGAGATTTTTAATGACTCAATGTCAGTTTAAAATTAGCTTCATTTAAAATATACTAGTTTTAGAAACTGTTGTATTTTTCGATTCATGCGTAAAATAAGTGTTTTGGTAAAGAGTATGAGAAAAGACATATTTATTAAATTAAGTAGAGATGAAATAATTATGCACCCTCTTTCTTATTCAATTAAAATAGTATTTTTAGTTGAATAAGAGAATTGAGGATGAGTTAGATGTACTCTAGTATTACTTGATAAACCTTAATTTATTTTTGTAATAATTTTTAAATAAATAATATTAGAATATTTTTTTCCTTTCAGGCATCCATGTAGCATGCACCTTTTACCTGTGATTACAAAGCTGCTATGTGAGGAAGTTCTCTAATTCATTAAACTCATTTGTAATATAAAAATTCTGATTCATTTGTCATTGTATCTCATTATTCTGACATTCCTCCTAGCGTTCTACTATATTCCACTTCATTTTAGCATGTTAATGTGCTAAAGAAGTTTCATGAGTTGAAAAAAGAGAAAGTATTACTGCATACATGTTTGATGTGATATGTAAAGCATATCATGCTTTTCGTTACTTCATTTGTATCTCTTATTGAATGTTTTCTTTTATTTAGATCAAATGAGGCATTTGGTTTCAACTTATTCACTAATTAATTTTTTTTTCTCTTTTTCAAAACTGATTTATTTAGTGTTTTGATTATTTTTTATATCCTTTGAAATGCTGCAATAAAAAAAAGTTGTTTTTTTCTTCTTTTGAACAAGTTCCAATTCACTTCTATGAAAATATTTCAAAAACAAAATAGTTATTATTTCTTTCAAAACAAATCTTTAAAAAAGAAAGAGAATGAATTGTACTCTATTTGTCATCTCAAACTTAAAACCAAGGAAATTCTTCGAGATTATTATTTCCTATTATTATTATCATCATCGTCAAAAAGATTAAATAAATCCAAGCCAATTCTATCCTAACTGCTAGTTTAAATTACAAGTAATCTAAAATGTTTTTTAAGTGACAAAAACTATCTTACATGGATCATAGACTTTGTTTCTTTTGAAAAACATTTACTCGCCTTCAACATCGATAGTTGATTCTTCATTAACTGGGATGATCAAAAAGTGTTCTGCCCTAAATAAGTGGATATCTTAGATCAAATTATACATATTTTCATTAAAAAATTAGAAAAAAAATAGAACATTGATATAGAGTTAAATTCTTTTCCATTAATAAATGGAAAAGACATTTAAATTTTACTCGTTGCATTTAGATATACATTTACTTGTACAATATATATAGTCTCGGGGTTGACAAGACCATTGCAATAGAAAAAATCAAGGAATGCAGTCTTCATGCGTATTAGGATTTTTATTTTATTTTTGAGGGAGGGGCATCTCGGATAATCCAATACCGGTTGATGAAAAGTTTACCTAATTGTATTTTTCTTTACCGTTTTCTGTATGTTTTTGAAACCAAATGCCTCAGCTATTGGCTTCATCTTTTTAGAGTAGAATTTAATTTATTTTTTAAGTTTTTTATCGACTAAAAATGTTTGATTCTATTTTGTTAGTACTTTTTGTCTTTTTTTTTTAAGTATTTGAAACAAAAACTTAATTATATCCTGCCTCATATACATTTGAACTATATTTTTAATAATTTTTGTTACCAACTATAAATTTTATTACCAAATCAAATTGAAATGCTTGCTGTGGATCGAGTTGATGTTCACAAAGCTTAATATTGTAATTGAATTGTGAAACAAGAAAGCTCATGCTGTGCCTAATAACATTTATGTAATAAGAGTTTATATTTGTGACTGGAAAAAAAATTGCTTTATACTCTGTATTGCTCGTCCTTTTTTATATTTTATGCGTCATTTTAATTGATGTGTGGAAGGAAATATTCTATGCAAACCTGTCTTTTATTGAAAAGTCATAATCGTATATGAAATATCCTGAAATGTTATAGTAGCTTAATTTCTTGAGCTTCATATAATCTCATTAAATATTGTAGAAATCTAAGAAATATGAATTAGGATTAAAGAAAGAAAATTTTATTTTTTGAATATAATAGAAAATAATTTATAATTTAATGGACATTCTAATTTATACTCATTCATATTTATTTTTAATAATTTTTTCAATGTTGTAATCGTTTTTAAACTGTTCTGTGCTTTATCTAGAGCTCAAAGTGTCATTGTTTGATTGCATTTTTTTTAATTGAGCGATGAAACCATAATTGTCTTTGTGCACCAAATTAAAAATGGTGACTTCACTGGTCTCTTATTTATTATTTTGTAGTGTAACATCATATGCTGTATGAATAAAATAGTTTCAAGTAATTTATAAAAAAATCAGTGTCTTTCTTTTGTTTATAGTTCGTAAAGACTGACAGAAGGTTTTTGTTTATAGTTCCTAAAGGACTTTTGAAGCTAAAATGTTTCATTTTAGGTACGGGAAAAAAAATTAGGTGCAAGTAGTAGGATATCAAATAACAATAGTGCTGTCCTAGCTTGTTGACTTGGTATGATGAAATATTTTAGTATACACTAGTTACTACTGCTATAGGCTTAACATTTTTCTTTATGGAAATTACTTAAGGTGTAACGATATTATTTAGAACTATTAAGAAAAAAGTGTCCCTATTGTGAAAAAGTTTATTCTCCAGGAAAAAGGTAGCACTATCTCACAAACTATAAGTGCCTAAGCAGGCAGAATATTCCTATTGCTCCTGAGAAATTTTATACCTTAATCGCCACCAATCTATGATCTGAACAGACTGTTCATTGAATTAAATTTAACATGGGGTTTAATATCTCTTGACCTGAAAGAACAATTTTAAAAATAGATTAAAATGTTAAACTATACAAATTTATGTTCTGAAATATATTTAATAAAGAATATGGTACCTAGGCAAAGTTAAATATCCCAAAGAGAATAAAATCATATCTAAAAAAAGTTATGTTTAATTTAAAATACCAATAGCACATAAAAATCTCTCCATGTTAAGATAAATAAGGGATCGCAAAATCTCAAATATTTTATGTGTCCAAGCATCTTTTCAGATTGCTTATTAATGAAAACTAACGTAAACCAAGTGAAAAATTACATTGCAACATCATCGATAAGTATAAATCTGAAGTGTTAAGTATTGGCTAGTCTATGTCTTCAATATGCATAGCATTTAGGTTATATAAAATGTAATTTATAAATTTTTTTTTCCTTCTGTGATACAGTTTATTAATCTAGCTAGTATTTTGGCAATTTTTTAAAGATTCGAAGCAGCGCACAGTGTTCCAAAATGTCGTTAAGAATGTAATTTTAAAACTTTGTGCTGCTCCAAATATGAAAATTATTTGCTCCAAAATATATTTTTTCCATCCCTAAATGCTATTTCAATATCTCATAATTTTTATTTGACCATGACGTTTCGTGCAATATATCTTTTGAGGTCTGGTGGAGATAAAATAGAACTGCCAAGTCTTAGTTGGTTAACTGATACAGTGTTTCAAAGAAAATATATCTGGTCACTTAAAATAGTACTAGAGATCTTTCTACCTGTAATTTAGATTTAAAGCACTATGAATGGACATGATCCTGTCATTTTTAGCCGGATTTCAGAAACGGTGCTATATTGAAGTAGTCAAAAAGAGGTACATGATTAAATGTAAATAGAAAAACAAAACAAATACTCCTGAAAAGTATGACCGTAAGTCTAAGTATAGGCAATTTGAAGGTTAATTAGCTTGAGGTTAGGTTACAAAGGCAATGGTCCGAACTAGATTTGATAGCATGCATGTTATTAATTTGAAAATTCCACCTCTGTTAACATAATATTGATAAAGCATAATTTATACTTCAACACCTTTTAATCTTGATATTTCAAACATAGTTAAGTTTGTTTTTTCTTCAGTTGTGTATCTAAATGTTACAAGAATAAACTTTCTAGAATATAACGACGTTACAGTTAAGTTAATATAATATACTGAATTATAATAGTATCTAACTTAATAACAATAACATCGTGTTTAAAAACAGAGAATAAAACCCTTTTTCTAGAGATCTTAATTCACTCAATGATTGGCATTGTATTCTACCTAATACGTACATTTCAAACATTCACCGCTATTTTATTATTACTATTCTTCTACATGGTTCACATCGAAAAGTAATATTAAATGTAATGGTCATGATAGCTTGTTTCCATTTAATAATAACTTATTGCATTTTACATGTGTACATTTTTGAAGTTGGTTTAATTGTTAGTACTTTGTGAAAATCATTTCCTGGATATTCTGTTACACCCTCCATTACAGAATTTTCAAACTTCTACTAGTTTTGAAAAATTCCAAACCTACTAATTTATCCAGTTATAAGAAAGATGCTTTACTTAAATATTTAAAGTGGTAGCAAATTTTATGATTTAAAATTTGTTTTAATATGTTAGACCACAGTAAACATTTAAGTAATTGATTGATTCCTTACTTGATTGTTATTCTGCTATTTAAATATTGTGAAAAGTTAGAACTATGGTTGAAAGCCCCAAGAAAAAAAGAAAGAAATTTGTTCCATTTTATGCTTGATAAAGTGCCTTGAAATTATCTCTTTCCACTGGTTTTCATTTAGCAAATTGGTTGTAAAATTGATACCTAATTACTAAAATAATAGAATAGTAAATGTAATAAAGATACACTTGTGAGTTGAAAAATTTCTTTAGCTTAAATAATTCTGCAGAAAAAGATCACATATTTCAAGTGCTCATTCTAAAGATCATCTGCACGTGTGATGGTTCTGAAGAATGAGTGTTTAACTTAGTGTGTGATTAACACGAGTGTTCAGTTGAGAGTGATAAAACGTCAACTTTTTCCTTTTTGAAGTTAATCATGTTTTTTCATCTACAAGGCCGGATTTACATATAAACTAGAGAGGCTACAACTTCAAACCCACGATGCAGCATCCTCTCCCAATCCAAAATACATTTTTTTTCTTCTTTTGCATTGCTAAGTACTGGTCAAATTTTGTCTATAAACAAAATGAATCCCTATCTTCATGCATTTTACGATCTCTAATTTATAGGACCATCCTCGTTGACTACATTGGCAAGGGTTTTAGATTGGTATCACACTTTACTTTTTAATCCATAATAGGAAAGTTTTCACCACATACCTAACTTAGAATAAAAATCTTTTTAAAGGAATTAGAAGCTGTTTGTTATCTTTAGTAGAATTTTCATGCAGATCTACATTGAATAATTTTATTCACAATTTGTTTTTAGTTTAATTCTAGATGAAGCCATTACATAATAGCATTGTCATTCATCTACATCAGTGTTTCCCAAATTGTGGTACCCGTACCCCCAGGGGTACGAAAACAGTTTAGCGGGGGTACGCTGTCTTATGTGAAATATCCTGCAACAAACGAAAATTTCAAAACATTTTCAGTAAAAACAAAGCTAGCCATGAAAATTTATGATTACGTATTTTTATATTGGCTATTTTTTGCAGAGTTGACAGTTAGTGATTAGTGGTGTCAACAGCCAGCTGTAATTTTTAACTTTTGTGAAATTTTTTTATAGTAAAAAATACATTCATTTTTTTATTAGTGGTACACAGAGTCACAAAAAATTTAGAAAGGGTACACAAAAGTCACAAGTTTGGGAAACACTGATCTACATAATAGCCTTATCATTGTCCATCTACTTTTTAATTATAAGTTTTTATATGAATAATATATTTAATGATGAAGTAATTAATTAATGAATAAATTAAATGTCATTAATTTAATTATTAATAATAAACAAGAAGAAATTAATGTCAGTTTGCTCTTAGAGTATGGAAAATGGAGTTGAACATTTTAGGGTGCCCCTAAGGTCTAATACTTGCCTATGCACATCTTTCAGTTTCTATTATTATTGTTTATTTTATAAAGATGGTTTGAAATTAAATATATATTAAGAATGCACTCGAATTTCTTCATTGGGACATTTAATGGTAGGGAAAAAATTAAAAAGAGGGTAACCTAAATTAGCATTAGTTATAAATAACCCTGAAAAAAAAAAGATAATTTGAAGTGTATATTGTGAGATACTGATATGTCATATTTAAAAGAAGAGAAATTATGCTTCAAAGTTTCCAAAAAATCAATCATACATCTTATATATTTTCATTCATTAATATTCTTTTAAACCTATTAATTTTTCCTTACTTATATTCAACAACAGCACGCAACTATGGCCTAACACCTATATGTTGTAGGAGAATAATATACATAACCATGTCAAAGAACCAACCAATTTATTACATGCAATCCAAAATCAGGTCACTGAGTTCCTACAATAGTAACAAATATTACATACTTGTCAGTCAAATAAAAAGAACTAGATATTGTTTTTTTATTTGTCAAGTCAATATTAAAATAATTTTGTTTGATGAGAAATAAAATCAATGATTCTTGATAAAAATTAGTTGTGGATAATTACAAACTGCAATTTGTCGATCAAGTGTGATAGATAAAAATGAAAGCTTTAGAGAAATTAACAAGATAATACAGAATCTTTTACAAAGGGACTTCTTTTTACATCAATGAAGAAATAACTGCACAAAAATTACCAGATTTTATTATTAGGTCATACTTACTAATTATTTGTGTTGTCTATCATTATTTTTTAAAAAAAAGTATTGAATGAATATCAGCAAAAGGTAAGAATTTTTTAAAAATTTGGAGAAATATTTAACTAAAATTATTATTAGAGACATACATTAAAAAATTTTATCAATGATAGTGACATAAATCATAACACAATTATTGATTTCAATAAAATAAATGTTTAAGTAATGAAATAAAATAATTGCACAAATGCATAAAATAAACATTTTTATTAAAAAAATCCATATAAAAAATTAAACTAGTTCATTACAGAATAGATAGGATTTGATATCCAAGTCAAATGCTTATATAAAAAAATCAATTGTAAGGCAAAATAACTTTGAAAATGCAAATATTTTTATATTTGATAATGTGTATAGCTTTAGAAATAAATTAATTTGTTCAAACATTTTACAAATATTTTACTTTAAATATTTAGATAAATGACATTCTTATATGTGAGAGTTTATTACTTTAACTATTTAACTTTAAATATTTAGATAAATGACATTCTTTCTCAAAAAAATCCTTACATTTTCCAAAGCCTTTGATTTGTTGCATAAATCACAAAAATTCATATTAATGTTAATAAACCTTATTAATTCAAAGAAATACTATGAATGAGAAATATGTACAAAAATATATGAAACTTAGTTCTTCAATGCTGCAGGGGTGATTGTGAGCCTATGCAAAATTCCGGAAAACTTCTTGAGTAAAAAAAAAAGAAGTTTAAATCGAAAAAAGTTTAAACAAGTTTTTTTTTCTTTTTCTCAACATTTCTTAGTTTACATAAAATATATTTAAAATTTTACACATAGCTATACCATTTACAAGTACCTATGTCGACCAGGAGAAGTAATTTACAAATATGTTTTTCTTTCTTGATTTTATGATCATAGTAACTATTTAGTGATAAAAAATGAATATTAATCTTGAATATAAGCTTATAAAGTATCTGGCACTCCTTTACAAATTAAAGAAACTGTGTTTTTAAGTTCAACCTTTGAAAATTTGATTTCCGGAAACTTTTGAGATCAATGATTTTTTGAAGCTTGTGAACCTTCTATCTCCGGAAACTTCCGGATCACTGAGCTAAAAATCCTGAAATCCGGATTTCTTCCGGAACACAATCAGCCCTGATGCTGTCTTTTTTTTCTTTCAAAATGTTTTAACAATGCCAAAATTAATTGAAGCACAGCACTATTAGTAATAAAAATAAATAACCATTCGTTAGTTTTGTTCGTGAACAGCAAATCTAACACTTTGTAGAAAAAAATTGATGCTGTAATTTTTAATGTCTTTTTCAAAAAGAAAATATTTTTCGCACATAACTTAGCAAATTAAAAGTGTGAGTGATCAACAATTGATGAAGTAGGAATTATCAACATGCTTTAAGTAAAAGCCTTAATTTATTTACCAATTTCCCAAAAATTTGGAAATAATTTCGTAAATAATTTTCATCTTCGACACCAATTAAATCATGGTTTATTTTAGACATAGTCTGATTAAAAAAAAAATTTGTGTTGTAAAAATCAAAATGTTCCTAAACAAGAATTTAAAATCACAATAAACATGTTCAACGTTTTGTTTGGCTGATATTCAAACTCTAATGACTGAAAATATAATTTTAATCTGCAATTCAATCTAATAAAAAATATAACAAAAGTTGTTACGATAGCAAATAAGAAAATCTTATAGCATATATAACAAAAATTATCAAAATATGTTACCTAACAGACATTTGTTTATTTTAGCAATATGAAAGGTTCAAAACCAATAAGAATATCAGATCACCCTGACTTAGATTAAATTAACAAGACAACAATATAGTTTTTTTTTCAAACATTAATGGATCATATTATTCTTTTAGTATTTCAATATTTAGTATATTTTGAATATTTTTACTTACTTTTTACAAAATTTGGCTTTTACGCTTGCAGAGTGTACCCATAGAAACAGATATTGTCTACTTAAATGATATTAGAATGCACTCATTTGCTATTGTATGATAATTCGCAAAGTATAATTATTCTAATTGTTAATTTTTTATTACATATTTTTACAAAGAAATTTAGCTTTATTAGGATTGATTATATCATTTTTTCTTTATTCTAAATATGTAATATTTATTTCGTAAATATAACTAATTAATAGGTTCTATAAATAACATCATACCATTTAGTAATAAATATTTAAATGGGAACCAATTTCAAATAACTACCTAAAATTAAGCCTGTTTATGTTACTTACATAAAGTTGAATGCTGAATTTCTAGTTTGTAACTTTCAAATTTTCGCTCCTATACTAGGTACAATTTTCTAGGACCTCTTAAAATACAGAAATATCTATCTGAAATTTTTGTACTACAAAAATGTTTTTTATTTCTATTATTTCAAACTGAAATAGGATATGTAAGCACATTACAATCATTCTAATCAAAATGCACTGAAATAACTAGTTTAGTAAAAAATCTATATGATGCAATTCTGTGTGAAACACATTAATTTTATATGTGTAAATAACAAAATTTATATTGTAGAAATTTCTGAAAATGAATAAAAACTCTTAATAGTTCACAGGCTGCAAAAAACATTACTCGTTTAGAGGTTATAAGTGAGAAAGCAAACCTAAATTGATAATTTTTTTTGCTGATGCTCTAGGTAGTTTCAGTATTTTTTATTTTTTTGATAAATAACAAATACTTAAGTGCATGTTTTTAAGTAATTTGCATCAAAAAATTATTTTAAAGCATTTAAACATTGATCTGTCCTGCAGAGTTTTATAAATAAACATAATGATATCGGAAATTTTTTTTATAATATAAGATTCTATATAATTAAAAGTTTTAGATTTAAAGGTTTGCATTATAAAGATCTTCTACAAAAACTTAGATAAGTTTAAAAATTTGAATTTTAAGACAATTAGTTAGCAATAGAGAAAAAAAAAGAGAGGAAGAAACATTAAATAATTTCTAATATACAAAAGTATAATATTGCTACCAGTATTCTTTTATAAAAAAAATCTCTGTAAATATTGAAAATTAAAACAATTTTCCACTCTGATTATAATTTCATTTACGAGCAATATTCTTTAGCAAGGAATGTTTTTTAAAATTATCATTATTTCTCATTTTAACACGCCGCACTAGTTTGGGATCTTGTTGAGCTTGCCCAAAACAGCTACCATAGTCAATTCTAGTAGCAATGCCATCCTGACCTCGTCGACTAATGAACTTAGAGCTAGTAGGCAACTTCTTATAATATGTGTCATCATCCAAAACCATAACGTCAATTTTCTTTTTACTTTCAGCAAAATTGACAGAAATAGGTGAATCAGTAGAATTAGAGGCAAATACATTTGAATCTGAAATACCAATTTGCATGCTGGCACTATTTGAAACACCAGTTGAAGAGCAATTGGAACACATTTTCGAACCACTATTTAAATTTTCCTTTTCCAACTGTTGCATTTGATGTTTTAAAGCGTCTCTTTCTTGTCTTAATCTTAAAAGCTTTTGGGAAATTGAAAAATTTTTGTTCTTCAAGCTTGTTACCTCATCTTTTAACTTATTTTTAGTGGAAACAGTGTTGTTAAATTCGCGTTTTAAAATGGAACAATAAGTAGCCAATTTTTTAATTTCTTTTTCGCCATTACTGTCATTCTCTTGCACTTCATGCAATATTTGATCTACTTCCTGTTGTTGGCCATGAACAATAGTTTTAATATTTTTATACATTTCAAGCTCTGCATTTGAATGAACCAGCGACCTTTCTAAATTTCGAATTTGATGTTCTTGCTCATTCATTTTTTTCAACCTCAAATTAGCTACTTGAATTTTGTTTTCTAATTCCATTTTTTGCTGCCGAAAGTTTTCAGCTTGAGACTCAGCTGTTGCTACATATAAACTAAGTTCTTCTACTTTAGCTTTTAAAGATTTTATCTCCTCCCCTTTTTCCTTGATTTCATCCTTTGCAGCAAAATATTCATATTCCAAGGTAGAGCTTTCTAATGTAACATCTAAAGATTTTTCAAACGGATATAATTTAATAGCATTATAATGCGAAACTTTTCTCCGGCATTCGGGGCAGGTCTGTGAAGTTGTTATCCATCCTTTTAAGCAATCCGAATGAAAAATATGACCACAAGGAGTGCATGAACACGATTTAACTCCTTCCAATCGACTAATACAAATGGAGCAATTCCAAATCATGTTAAGAGATGAACGAGTTCGATTTGAAGCATTAAGTATGACACAGAATTCTACTTCTATGTAAACCTCAAATATAAAGTCCTAATTTCTTTAAGATTAATTTCTTGATATTTTATTTAGTCTAGCACCATCTTTTAGACACATTTAAATAAAAAATTTTCTTAAATTTCGCGCGTTGAGATCGAGTTGATTGACCAACTGTTTATGAAACTTTGTTTAAATAATATCTTGCTTGCTTGGAGCTTACTGCCTATTGTAAATAGAAAAAGGTATGATTGAAACAAAAACAAGCCGATAATGACTTCAAAAAATATTTTATCTTTAACTTAAATTTGGCAACAGTAAATGGCATCGTTAAATTGGGAAATCTTTTCAAAATGGGAAATCTTTTTTTGTAATATTTGATTCTCTTTTACAATATTATTTATTGTAAAATCCTTCGATATTGGTTTCTGTTAATCTATATCTTGAAAAATTTTAAACGCCCTACTAAAGAGTTCACTAGCTAAAGAAATTAAAGGTGAATTTTGTTCCTATCTAATATCTTCCTTTTATGATGCTTAATTTGCCACATTGTTTCACTTAAAATTCAATATTTTTTTTAACTTTGTTTGTTATATTTGAAAAATATTTAATTGCTAGTTCATGCTAATTAATGACTACTAAAACTTTTTGCTGTTACAAGATAAATTGTTCAATTTTTCGTTTAATGGCGGAATTTCAACGTGATATTAGTGCTAGTGCAGCTTTGCTCTGTAAAACATGTCTTTTAGGTTTTCATTATATATGTAAGTATTTATTTTCTTTATCATTTCAATGTAATTTTGAATTAACTCCGAACTTCGCTGAATTTTTCATGTAAATATAAATAAAATAGCATGGCGAAAATCTTTAAAACCAAATAATAAAATGGCAGAAATTGTATTTTGAGAAAGAGAAATAAATTTAAACTTCAAGAAGAAAGTCTTTATTTTTTTCTATAAGAGTTCTTAAAACTCCTTAATTTTCTCATTGATATAAGATTATTCAAGAAATGTGTGAAATCAAATAATTTTTTTTCTTATATTGACTTAATCTTCCAAAAATATTTTGAAAAAGTTATTGTACTGAAAGAAAAAGTTAACTTTTCAGGAAAATTCTGATCCAAAATAAACTTTGTTCTTAGGGAATATTAGGCCCTGAGGATTTTAACCACTCCTACTTATATGTAAGTGAATATTTCTAATTAGTTAACTTATTTTAATTATATCTATGACAAATTTTTTGTTTACTGATTAGTAAACTAATTAAAATTTGTAAAAAATATGAATGTTTGTTTAATTGAGTTAATTTTTTTAATCAATCAATTCAAGGGTTTAAGTTATCAGAATAAATTTACTAGTTACATATTATTTTGTAATTATAGCTTTATTATGTCTACTTTCTAGCTCAGCATCAGTCTAAAGAATAAGTTTTGAATTTCGGTCTTATTCATCATACTAAACTGAAAAATAAACTTAAAGTGCAAAAAGCTTCAAAACTTTTTTTTTTTGTAACTGATGTTTTAGGGGAAGGAGGAATTAAAATTGGTGAATGAAAATGGATTTTACATATAATGAATAAGATGATTTTTTAGTGTTTATTTATTTATTAAGCTGATTGTTTTTTATTTTCAATAATTTAACAGATTAGATAAATTTAAATTTTAGACATTTTTATTTATATTTATTTAATATTTTCTACACCAAATTTTGGGTTTTTGGCAGTAATTGTCAAAAAAAAGATCAAAATAATTCAAGAACATAATTGATTGATCACTTGTAATTTTATATGTATACTTATTTATAAATACTTTTTAATTTTAATATAACAATTTATCCTTAGACTAAAATTTAGTTTTTGACAGTTGTCAAAAAGGTTTTTTTGACATGATAAATAAAACCATCAATTGTCAAAGACTTGACAACCCCTCCAAAATTTATAAATGAAATTTAGCTTAATGATTTTCTAAAATTATATGGCTAAATTAAATTATATTAAACTTATAATTGAGTTTACACACAATTATTGTTGCGATGATGGACGGATATTTTTCGAAGAACTAGATTTCAGATAGCACTGATTCGTTCTAAGGTTTTGCTTTAATCTTATGTAAATGTATGCTATTTCTATCATATCCTAAATAATATACTAAATTAATAAATATTCTAACGCATCTAAATGTGTGCTATTTCTATCCCATCTGTGACTGATTTTAATTATGTAATTTAGCTTGAATTGAAAATTATTTTAACTTAAATATGAATGGAGTAAAATTAACTAAACTTTTAACTTTGACACCTCTGATTTCAGCCAAAAAGAAATGTTGATTTGCTATGAAAAGCTGCATAATCATTCCTTCAGCAATATTTTAGTGGTAAGTTTAAAGTCTGGAGTTTTTAAAATCTTTCTTCCATTTTGCATACACTCAAAAGCATAAATTTTATAAAAAAGTTTTTTTAAGTAATAATATTCAAAAAACAATTATGTAAGATATAAAGTTATATCAATCAAAACTATAAAATCATTAAAATAGCCTTAGCAGACAGAAAGTATGGCTCTTTATGGGGTGAAGATATATAAGTAAGTTAAATGTTCAATGCTTGAACAAACATTAAAGGGAAAAGCAATGATATTTTTGAATTCAGGAGAGAATTTTCATTAAATTAAGATGAAATTTTTTTAAAAAAAATTAGGGGATACTTTTGCTTAAAGCTTATGAAGAGATGCCTATATGTATATAATAATCAATAAATTATGTTTTTTATTTTTAATTCTACTGTTAGCATTTCTAATGTAATTAAGGTTATGTTCTTATATTCAATTATAATGAATTTTCTAATGGATTAAAAAATTTAAATTAATCATAAAAGTAATTTTTTACAGCTTGTCTTATTTTTTATGATACCTTCTGTTGTGGACATTAAATTTTCAACTGAAAATTTTTAGGTAAGTTAATGGAAAATGGTTTCAAATAAACCATCAAAAGATGACCTCAATGTTTTGATAAGTTCTTTACCTTCATACTCCACTATTGTTGCTAATTTAATGTATAATTAAATTTTCTATTATATTCAATGTAGTGATAGTGTTAATAAATAAACAAAATCTAAATATCTTAAATTTGCAACTTGGTTTTATGCAAAAAATAAGTGAAATAATATTGCCATTTTTGAAAAACATATTTTTTATTTAAAATAGTGACTCCAATTTTAAGTTTAAAAACATATTTTTTTCATAGTTCTTTTCAGGGTGCAGCTGGTAAGTAAAAATAATTCTTTTATTTAAAGTCATTCATTAATTGATTTTAAGGTTACAGTAGCAACATTCTGTTTGATTATGAATTTAGTGGATAATAGTTTAATAAAAATGCCTACACAAGTTTCGTTTAATCGTTTTAAAAATAAAAAAATTTATTTCGCGGCACTTTTACTCTGAACATCTTTAATGATGCAAAATTTACGATGGGGATAAAAATGTATTGCAAAACAATACAGTAATGTTTACAAAATATAGTGCCAAATACCTCTAAATGTTCCTATATTCCAGCATATCGTATAAAGACAGGAAGAAAGTTTAATGGGGCATTATAATTGTAAAGCCACTCTGATCCTTCATAAATTTTCCCTCTTTGTGCATCTTTCCATTTACCACCTGGCAAGTATATGTGTCTTTGATTAGTTCCTTTATGTAGAACAGGCGCTATTAATATTTCATCACCCACTAGAAACTCAGAGTCTATTTTATATGCTTCACTATCATCTGGTGTTATCCACCAAAGTGGGCGAATTATTGGTTCACCATTTAAGGTTGCTTTATGCGCTATTCTCATAATATCACCAATGTATTGTTCTCTTAAAGATAGCATTTTTTTAGAAATTTGGACAATTTCATCATCATAATCCCACGGTGGTATTGAAAATTGAATGAAAGGTAAAAATATATTTGCTTCTAACCAACGAACATATAGTTCCCTTTCTGGTAAAGAACCATCCAGAGAATTATAATTATTGCCTCCAACCATGTCTGGTAGAACGAAATAGTAACCTAACATTGACAGGTTAAGTGTATTAGGTATTAATGTTTGTAAACCATTTGCATAATTCCAAACAGAATATTTATCAAACATTCGAACTAAAATAGGTAAGTGCTGTGTTTTATATCCAGTTCTGACTTCTACATTTCTGCCAAATTCTGCTGCTATCTCAGCATATAATTGGGAATAAATATTTGGTTGTGCATTTGCTTCAGAATTATGAAAGTAGAAATCTGTGTCAAGCCATAATATTTCTCCTGCATCAAATTTAAAAGATTCAATTCCAAAATTAATTTGTATCATTTGCAATCTCTCTTTAAACCATTCTGCTGCTTCTTCATTTGTTACATCTAAAACTGCTCCCAACCCATTCCACCATTTCACATCTAAAACATTACCTTCCTTATTTTTCACCCAATATCCTTTTGTCTTACCAATGTTATATGTCACACAGTTTTTATTGCAAAATGGATGGACCCATAAGGTTGTGTAAAGCCCGAAAGATTTTAGTTCTTCAGTCATCCTTGCTGGGTCTGGAAATTTTTCCTGGTCAAATTCTAAATTGCCGTAACAATTTTCCCATTTGTCATCAATTTCTAATTGACTAGCTTCAAAGCCTGACTGAAAAATATCTGAAGCAAAATTCAAAACAATGTTTTGATCAATATTCTGTTTATATTTAGCCCAAGTTGACCAAATTGGATGTTGAAATAATTTTTCATTTGGTATATTAGATGGTTTTTTTATCCATTTATGTAAGCTAAAAGTGTGAGCTTCTTTTATTGAGGAAGCTGCACAAATAGAATAGGCCAAATCATTTGTTTTTAATTCTCTATTTTGGTAGGGGTGCTTTTTTGCAGATGTAGTGAAACAAAGTTTTCCATTTCCACTTTCATTGAAATTCACATAGAGGGATGTATTGTGATCAACAAATATTGCAAATCCACTTGATGATATCCAAAGATTTTCCAAAACATTGCCTGACGGATGGTGTAAAGGATCCCCTGTTGCTGCTGGATACCATGGTCTGGAATCACTTTGTAATGGCCATCTTTGTGATATTGTACTGCTTCCTCCGTACCATAAATCATCTCCCAGCAAAAAGCAATCCATAGAACCTCCCCTGTGATTAAACCAATGGATTTTGTGACAAGAAATTGTGTGGCATGTCAAACTATCTTTTTCACAGTGATCTGAGTTGTCTTGCATCACTATAAGTTTCATTTCTTTCTTATATTTAAGGCATATTGCTCCCGATTGAGATTCGTTTTCAGAGCAACTTGTGTAAGTGGTGTTACTAGTTTTAGGTAGCCATCCTAAATAACCTTTTAAAGTTTTGACTGTTGGGGAGAAGATATCAACCAACAGTTGTGATGATAATGTTAATTGCAAATTATCTAACAGTAAAGTAGGTACTCCATAGGAGATTTCTTCATCCAATAAATCTAGTGCTTGCACTGGTGATGAGTTGTTTATACATAACAGCCAAATCGTAAGTATCCACCATTGCATCTAAGAAGAAAAAAAAAGTTTTGAGTTTTATACCTGTTCTTTTAAAAATAAGCAATATTGATATTATTGAAGTAAAAGCTGCCTTATAATCTTGTTTTAATGTATAAGTTTTTTTGTTTTTAAATTTTAAGTTTCCTTTAAAGTGTGAAATAAATTATCTAAGTTTTATAATTAATAGAATAAAAATGCTAAAACTAATGCTCTAATAAATGCTTTATTAGAGCTCTATTTTCTCATTTCATGAAGAAAAAAAAATCTATTTTACATTAGTTTGGCCAGTTTCAAATAATGGTTAACTTAAAGTAACTTTCAACTTTGTACTATTGCATATTTTAAAGATTTTATCTTTATGCTTAGTTTCCGATCATATTCAAAATGCTTCCTGATGTATAATTTTTAAAGTAGCATTATATTTCAAAGTATTTTACTCCAATAGAAGTAGTTTTCCAAAAAATCTGTTCCAAGATTTCAAAATTTGGTTAAAATGACTACAAATTTTAAATATAGCTGTATTTTTAATTTTTTTTATTTATTATTTTTATTTAGACATCAAACTTTACTCAAAGCTACTTGTAATTTCAATTCTAACAAATATTTCCTTACTGCAGACATTTTCATAAGTGGTTGAGAAAATTCCTTGAATTTAGAAAGAAAAAGTAATTTACTAGAACGTTGCTGCAGTTTTACTTTCTCTTAAAATTAGTTTAACTCTTTTTCTATTGACTGTAGAAAATATTAAAATTTTGTGTCAATAAAATTTCGATAGTGAGCAATTTTTTTATAATATAATTAAAATGTATTTTGTTATGTTTGAATTCTGTTATGTCAATTAATAGTGATAAATAAAACAGTTGGTTAGAGAAATGAAAGCAATAAATGGTATGAGTACTACAAATTTAGCCCATTTCGTAAAAGTAAACTAAAGGGGTCCTCCTTACAATGGGTGTCCTAAATTAGAGGCGAAAAGATACACAGGGGGAAATTTTTTCTTCTGTTGCATGGAATTTTTTTTAACGGATCTTGGATATGACCGTTTCGCTGGTTTCAAAACTGCGTCTGTTTCACTCTACGAGCTACAATTTTTATGCAGTTGAATAATGTATTCCTCACCGGGATTTCGAGTGAATACTAAGTGTCCTCTCTTCTGTTAATCTGTGTTGGAAGAATGCAATAATGTAGTTCAATTCTTGATGTGACACTGCTAGGTCGTATATTTTTTTGTTTTATTTTCAAAGGAGGAGACAAGTGTTACCTCTAAAGTGTGAATATTAACCTGAACGTTTTTTAATTAACTTCTACAGACAAGGCAGACTAAACTTCTAAAAACAGAAAGAAAATAAGTTAAACCGAAAATACCCCTTCGAAAAAAGAAGGGAAAAAATCGCCGAACAAAGCTAATTACAGATTTGAACGTTCTACGCTCAAACTAGGTAAGATCAAGTACTCTTATAAATATAACAAAACATGATTTCCTCGGTGTAGTAATTCATAGGCAAACGAGATCTGTTGTAACTTTTTGAAGATAGGATAAGTAGTGAGGGATGAAGCGTGCAAGTCGTTTTTGATCTTGTAAACATATGTAAGTATATTGATATTTTGATTTATTTTTTAATATTTTGAAGGTTAAGAGCGATTAATTTTTTCATTTACCATATTTATGAAATTGATAGCTATTGCCAAAATCTAAAAAAAGAATGGATTTACTAAAAAAGTTGTGTAAATAACATTAAACCGAAAATAATAATTTAAAGATGATTGTTTTTTTTTTTTTTTTTAATTTGTTATACACAGAATTATTTATAGTTTTTTACATACAAATCACTTTAAAGGAAAGTTTATACGCTTTAAGGGATCAAGTAGAGATTAACTATGTTATCTTATTTAACATGTAATAATATCATTATTAAAAAACTTACCTTTTATGTTGTGTAGCTCTTTGTAAGAAATTAGGATAAAGACACTTGAAGAAAATCCATCTTCTCTTGCCCTTGAATTTTGTGTTTGTGCCTTGGCGAGATACTCCGCTTTCTTCCATCGATCGTCTTGGCATGAATTCAAGGAGCAATGTGCTGGATAATTTTTTTTTTTAATTTTTATATTTTAGAAGTTTTATTTACTTTCCTGGTTATTTTCATCTGAACAAAAATAGTAACATGATGCAAATCAATATTTTCGTTCGTTTCGCTGGTTATGGCCAATCTTTTTAGTTTTTATAAATCTTGGAAATAAAACTTAAGTTATTTTTTCCCTTCAATATTGGCATAAGGATTAGAAATCTGCTTATTTCATCATTATAAGTGATGCGTAACCTTAAAGAGATAAAAGAACCGTGCGCTCGTTGATTGTTTTACATGTGTCTTACGCTGTTCGACTAAGTTTTTCATTTAAGCATTCTAAAACAGCTATTCTTTTTTCTTTGTCCATGGAATCTTAAACGATCAGTTTTCTACGGCGAAACCCCGATGCTCACAGCAATACTGAGCATATTAACCGAAAACCGATAGATAATTAATTTGAAAACATTTAATGTGAAGAATGAACGTTTTTTATTGTTTCATCACTTATAGTTTTAAAATTAAGTTTTGTGTGAGACCGTTGAAATTAGGTCTATACTACTTCTGAGTTTGTTTTTGAAACGTGGAGCCGAAAATTAATAAAATAAACTAAATAATGGTTTTTACGGAAATAAAAATATAAATTAACTTGTTTGCTAGTTCGATTTGATCATAATTCGAAATGCGTATTTAAGAGAACGGACATTGCTCATAAAACATATTTAAAAAAAAGAAAATCTTAAAAATGTGATTAAGAAAATGAACGCAACACAAATTGCGCCTATTTGTTAAACTCAAATTTGAACCAAGGAATTTGCCTACTTTTTAAACGCTATATAACAATAATAATTACGCCGCCAAGTGCCGGAGTGGCTGAATATATTAGGATGTAATCTTTCTATCAAATGTACCTTTTAAGATGATTCCTATATATTCAAATCTTTAAACGATTAAGTGGTATATGTACCAAATGATTTATGCAAAAGGGTGACTATATATATAACATGTATTTTTATTAAGTAGTTAATTCTTTAAAAATAATATTCATAACAGTTTTAAAAGTGGAAGTGGTGTGTATGTTTTTAAATATTTTGAGCTTATATCCATTTTCTTAAATTCTAATTTTGAGCAATATCCTATGTGTTAAAAGCGCATCGGCGAGCTGTTTAAAAAAGTTTCTTTGTTGTGGAATTTAGTTTTATATTGAATTGAAAACTTAGATTTGAAATACTAATACAATTTTTTGTTAATGCATTTCCTTTTTTTATTATTTAGTTTTAAAAAGTTTGGTACGGAGAAAAATAAAAACTTATATTTTTTTGGGTTTTTTTTCCTTTTTTTTTCGATTACAGTATTTATTTTTTTGGTTTTTGTTTCCTCGAGTGAAATACGTCTGAGCATTTTTTTTCTTCTTAATTGAAAATTTTCTCTCAAATAATACGTATAGATGTGAAAAAAGTTCTTCGTCATTTGTGATGCATGGCTTGCTTTCCTTGACAGTGAGAGCAATGAATTCTATTTTATAACACCTTCATTAACATAGAAATTTGCTATTTCCTGCGTCACTGACAAATTATGTCTAAACTTTTTTTTTTTTAAAGAAATGTACGACTGAGTTTACCGCTCATCAACTCTTTAAGCAAGTCTTATTTTTTCTTTCGTAAATATAATCTAAAAATAAACTCTTTTTGAAAGTCTGTGGTTTAATTAAAAGATGAAACTGAATCATGATGAAACACTTACAAAAACGCCTACTAGTTCCCAGGAAACTTAAAAAACATGATAGTTGCATCGTTTTAAATGAAACTTTTGGAAGGAAAGACTGGTTGAATAAATAAATCTAAACTTGAAACATACTACTTGAATCAATTTATGAAATAACTAAGTTGTTTCCAGCAATTTTCCGTGTCATATCTTTCCTTACTAATTTTCATGTAAAAAGCGTGTAATGCCAAAAAAAACGGACGAACTTAACTATTTCTATAAGTTTTAAACATATTTTTCTGATTACTATATCGTGTAATTTTTAAATTCGTTGCTTTCATAATAAAACTGTCCACTTTTTAAAAAAATAAATTTGTATTTGAAGTTGGGACTCGACATGCAACCACCTCCTCGTGGTGAGTCCTGGGTAGTTAAAGCTTTTAACTAACTAAGAGTTGCATGATAAATCTAACGCATAAAAAAAGTTTAAAACATTGGCTCGGCATGCAACCACCTCATAATGGTGAGCCCTATGTAGTTACAGCTTTAACTAGCAAAGAGTTGCATTATAAACACGTTGGTATTATAAAAGATTTCTATGATCAGAGTTCATAGTTGTCCTGATTTTCCTAAGGAAAATTATTTCGTTCTTATTTGTCATGTGTTCTATCCTTATTTTTATGTATCTACAGAACATCTCAGTTTTTATGACTACCTATGTAATTCTTCCAGAAGGAATTCAAAATTTTTGTCTTATACAACACAATGTAAGTTGAGATCTGTGTAATTGAATTAGGTGATATTTCGCTATTATTTTGGTGTCACTCTGAAGGTACGCTCATCTGGGAGGCTGTAAGTGTGGTAAGCGATATCCTTATTTTTTAACAAGGATACAATTTGGCATCGGTCCTCCAGCTTATTAGATTTTATGGTAAAAGTAGTCACCATTATTTTTGGCTGTGTAATCTAAAATGTTATTGTCTGTTAAGATTTTGTTAAATTCTCTCCAGTCAAATTTTTCGTCTTTCATGACTTTTGGTCGTTTTCTTATTCTGAGTAGTAAACTCGTCTTCTGGGTCGAGGTCAACGTTGTTATTTTGGGTTACCCTGGTTGGGGACGGCGGGGTGGCCTTGAATCTCTTAGTTTTTGAGATGGAGAAGTTGTTGTCTCTGCTACTTGATTTAGAGTATCGGAAAACTCTGTGTCCATAATGTTGTCGTGTGTTTGATTATTAGTATCTAAGGTAAAGGATGGGAATCGCTCTGGGTGATCCCTAGCATACTCATCTAATATTCCTGAGGTTGAGTTAGATAATTCGTTAAATAGCTCCTGTTGGCTATATATTTTATATTTAAGTGTATGTTGCCTATGTTGGAATTCAACAAAAAAGCCCTGTATTTTTTTTTCTATATTTCCCTGAATTTTTTGTCCGTTATTCACAAAGGTGGCGGCATTATTTAGTAAATTTAAGGTTTGTTTTATCATCTCGTCAAAAGGTATCGCGACATCATTTATAGCCAAATTTGATTCGCTATTATCAAGATTTTTCTCTATCGGAGAGTCTGAGTCTAGATCGGTGCAGTCATCATCGGTGGACTGAACTTTATTTTTATTGCGAATCTTTCGCTTTTTCTTTTTACTCGGTTTATCCGAATTAGCGATAGTTAATCCCGGAATAATTTTTTCGGGTTGAGGAATCTCAACTACGTCAAGATTAAGTGCGCTATTATTAGCATTATCATTTCCCCCGGCCGTGGGACTCTCGGAAGTAGCCATGATTTTATGGTCCTGAAAAGGACCTTTCGGTGGTGCTAATTCGCGAGGTGAAGTCGTATCTCTGGTCGGATCTACAAAGAAAAGCAAACACCGACTCATGACTTCTGTTGACAGCGGGCAGCTATGGAGGGCTTTAGGTTCCCACCACGAGTCGATCAATATTAACCTGAAGAGTCATCAAAAATAAAAAACAATAAGTTGTAAACAATGTAACGTCCTACTCTCAGTTCGGAACGATTACATGTATCTGGAACAGCAGCACTGAATCGTCCTACTCTCAGTTCGGAACGATATCAGTTTTCCGCATGGGCACGGTACTGGTCATCGTCAGGGACGCCGGGATTGGATCACTGAAACACGCCCTACTCTCAGCTTCGGAACGAGTTCAGGAGCAGCTAAGATGTGCGACCTACTCTCAGTTCAGTCGTTCTCCCTCTTCCTAGAGCGACGCTCTTGAACTTGAACTGAGTTCTTCTTCACACAAGCGGACACTTCACACTTTCATCGGTGATTGTGCCCGTGGGCATCTGGAATAATGGCGGTGGTCAGATTTAATCTGCATTTAATCTCTACGTATATTTAATAAATTATTTACAGGTTAAAGTAAAACTAACGGATGGTTAAGGTTGGTGTAAGGCTCTGCTACAACAGTGACCCGGTCGTCCTGGTATTCAACCACTCGTACCGGGTTACTCACTGTACTGAACTTAATGGTTACTATGGCTTACCCGGATCGGACCCTTTTCAGGGTTACGAGCTACGCTCACAGCACGCACTCGTTTAAATACTCTGCCAAAACCACCACCACAAAACTCACAAGGAGAAATAATTTTAAAATAATATTGCCTTTCCCATTCTAATCCAGTGGTATTGGATGTAAGTTTGAAAGCCTTCTCTCATCGATTTCTCAGAGGCCATTTTCTAGAGCCAACACTTACCATAAAATTCCCATACTCTCCTGGCTATGGATCCTTCATACTTGCTCATCACTAAGGCTGTTGATGGTACATCCAACTCGTGCACAATTTCAGCCAAGTCAAAACAAACAGTTCCACAATACCGTTTTGTCCATGGCATCGGCGGCGATGGTCCCACGACATCGGGTGGGTGGATTCTATCCAACACATTGGTTACTTTTTCCAAAAGCAGCAAATTGCTCAGCATGAGGGTAACTATCACGATTATAAATGAAACTATACAGTTTAGAACTCGTGGTGAAAAAAGAGGAAATGTTACGACGTGCGTCTACCCCGATTCTACTTAAAACTCAAGTCTTTTATTTTATTTTAGCCATTTGTGCAATAATAAGCTTGTATTAAAAGGCAAAATTAATGGGAAATGTTACGTTTAAGAGAGTATAAAAAATCTGAAAACTATTAATGCTATCAATGATGCTTAATTAATTATAAATTCTAAATGACAAAAATATGCTATGAGCTTAAAAAAAATAATGATGGGTACTTTTCCATTATACCGGTGCAAATCTTGCCAAGCTGAGTTTTTGGCGACAGCGCTCAGTCG